GAATCGATGACGGCTAATATCGCCGTTTAAAGTACAAAACCGCCTATTGTCGTTCTACAAAACCTCGTTAATGGCATTTGTGCCAAAAAAGATATTTGCTCATCGGAAGCTAAAATATCGATACTTAGATATAAGTTCAGATAATTAGGGATAAAAAAAGAGAAGCGTTTTGAAATAGGACTACCTTTACTACTCTCTCCTACAATATCTTGGCAACCTCACATACGTGGTTTTGTATTTTCTTGATACGTGGTTTTGTACTTTAAACGACGATATATATTTACACAAATTAATTGACATACCGCTCGACGGTGTCCAAACCATCACCATAGAGACAATGTAATTCTACATCTGGCGGACTAAAATTTAATGTGAAATGCATATTGTCTTGTCGCATATCCCATCCAATTGTGTAATCAATATCAGAAAAGAATTGCTTCAGCTGTGACATTGTATATACGCGTGACGGAGTTTCCACCAAGACTTCGGACGGGCGCCAAAAGAGTGGTGATGGTAGCAGCCATGCGGTGGAAGGATTAGTTATTTGTTCTTGTTTTAAAATTTTTCCACTGAGGAAGAATGAATCCAAATCATCGCCTAAAAATAATAAATAATATAGTTTTCTTTTTTGAAATAGGTACACTAAAATATAGCTATTTTTAAATACAGCGTGGTCATATTGTGGTTTCTTTTTAAAGAATAAAAAATTAATTAATTAATAAGAAGCAGATAAGTCAAAGTTCGGGCAAAAAGCAGGATTTTACCACTATTTCAAACATCTTCGATAGTATATTTAGTTAGACTAAATGAGATAAACTTGTGTAGTCATGAATGGAGGTGCAACGCCTATTTTCCAAAATTCCACAATAATCTTATTTCTTTTTAAGAGGTTATTGTGAGTATTAACTTTGAGTATATTAATGTCCTTACCGTTATGTGAGAGTATACGTAATTTAATCCGATTTCAAACAATTTTAATGTCTTTTTTATGTGTCAAGTACAATTATTATACAGAATTTGGTACAAATTGACCGTTTACCGATATACACATATATATGTATGTAATCGATAACTAACCTCATTGTTTGCTGGGCCCCAGATTAGATAATGATTGGAGAACTAGCGACATTCTCCAATCTCAAACGTTAGAGATCGACTCGAAAAACTGCCAAGAATCATAGCGATCTCAACAAAAATGGGACATACATAGTTCTCGACTCGAGAAAATGTTAATTCTCCAATCGAATTCTAATGTTGACCTCTAATGGGATTCGAATGTGAAGTTCAAATTGCTGTTTTGTTTTACTAAATAAAACGCTTTGTTTGTAAAATTTTGATTAAATGTATTTGCAAAAAAAATAATGAATTATTTGAACTTAAAAATAATTTATGATTCATTCATTTGGAATAGTGCTTATTTACATTTATTTGAATTTGCGTTGTTTCTCTAATCGTTCTCGAATCAAATTCTAATGTAGTTCTCTAACTTCGTCATCGACTCGAGAACGATTAGAGAATTACCCTAGTGATCTAATGTAGAAATCCGAATTTCTATCTCGAGCTCTTTAGGCTGTTGCACACAATCGTTACGTGAACAAAGTTATAATACCAATTTTTTCTATATATTATTGGTTTATTCGAAAGCGCAAACATTCCCATTATATATGGAACACGATTTAATTCATGCGGCTGCTTCGGATGGCTTCGCAGTAGCGCATCGTGTTAACCCAGTTTTTCCAAGAGCTTAGAGTTAATGAATGCCACGGCTGCAAAATCGCCATCCAACCGTCACTCTCTGATGATGCATTGGTTTCTCAACGATCATGTGCGGATTATGATATCCCCAGATGCAGCAGTTGTGCCGACGTTCCCACGACAGTCGGTTCTACGTAACCGGAACGACCCAGATTTATATTTGGCCAAGGACTGTCACTCCAGCAACACTCCCCAAAAACTCTTTGGGGAGCTTGTATGCTGCTACAACAACAACAACAACGAGATGAAAATGCGCTTAGTCAGAAAATATGATTTTTCGAGCAAAATCGTTGTCCAATAAAATAACATATTGTTGTTGTTGTTGTTGTAGCGGCTACAACAACCCCGCCCAGATCGGCTGATATCTCAGTCGTTGTCGCCGAGTTCCACTAACGGCAGCCCCAAGAAGCGTGCAGCCTCTATGGGGTCGGTCTATAGGGATATGTTATAGTTGGGTGGTTCCCAAGGTGTCGTACTTGCCGTATTGTTGTATGTTGTTAAGTTTTTAACGGCTAAATAAATGTTTAGAGGACTTGAAATCACCACCAACTATTTTTTAATTGTGTGAAATTTCATAATAAAACTTTTATGTTAGCTTGCGAATTCCTTAAATATAGTTTTAGCCGTTTAAAATTTTTGACATACAACAGTACGACAGTATACAACGCCTTGTGAACTCCCTAAGTATATGTAATCATATATCATATATCGTATATATTATTCAGTAAAAGACTACTACAGTGCACGTCAATAATGTGAACAAATTAAAACCAGGCGAGTTCACATTTGCGCATTTGTTCACTTTACATATATGGAACACCCTTCACGTGTAGAAGGAAAAGCGAAATACCATTTCGCAATGCTGCCGGATAGATAACAGTTTGCCGTTTCTATTCCTGTCGGGCCTGTGTAAACGTACCGACCCAAATTTATACTTGGCCACGGGAAGTCTCTTCAGTAACCGAAAACTGTTTTGTTCGTATTTTTCAGTAAAATAAAAGCAACTTTCGTGAAGAATTACCTAATTCTAAAAATAGAGTTTACTCCCTTCTTAAGCTATAACGGACTACTGCTTGTATGCATGCATGTGTGTGTATATATTTATTTATTTAATGACTCACCCATTGCAAACACCTTGACAGCTTTCATGCTACCCGCCCAAGCACCAGCGAGACTTATTTGCCTCTTTATATATTTCCGTCGCCACTCTGTGGTTTGTTGATGCAGAAACACTAATGTCATTGGGCTTCCCATGCTGTGCGATATAAATGTTACTGGCAATTTTGAATTACGCTCATATGTATCCTCTACTAGCTTTTTCAAATCAATAAAGAATTGGTTATGTTCACCTATACAAAGTTTAATATGAAGTTATATGATATACAATAATAAAAACAAATTACTTGGTCCTTTGCGGAAGTCGTACGGCGCACCGTGTATGTTCTTTTTTCGCTCGTATCCCAAGTCGACAAGCACATTCGCAATATCCTTAAAGTACGCCCCCGCTTTGTTGTGTGTCGGGTCTATCCATTCCACGACATCAGGGTCTCCCCAACCAGGAACGCGTATATCTACACCAGGTGAATTGTGCGTAGTTCTGGTAGCTTTGTCGTAATATAATTTAATATTTTCCACCCAACAATAAACTGGCGGTACAACCAATAATTCTAAGTTCAACCATAGGCTATACCAATTGGCTTTTTTTGAGCAATATAAGGGCGCATCTGATTTATTCAGTTTAGCCTCCAATTGACTACCGCCATCACCAGGAACTACAAAAAAAAACGTTTGAAATTGTACTATATATATATCTATACTAAATACAACTTACTAAATATTACCGGGGACAATGGTTTCTTTTGATTAAAGGATACCACATGACACACCTCTGTAAAAATTATAAGAAGTAATGGCGTGCAACCGATGAATATCTTCATTATGTGTTTCTGCTTCTTAATATCTCACTTTGTTTCTATATGCTATAGTGATAAATTAAAAAACTTGGAAGACATGAAATTGTTCATTCCTAGTCTGGAAGGATTAGATTCGTGCGAATGACATCCGTCGTACCGGAATCACAAAGTAAGCGACGGTGCCATTCACACGAATCTAATCCTTCACTCTCGCTTGTTATGATAGTGCCAATGGTCAGTTTAACACTGGAACATATCTGCCACCAGAATAACTCTGTTTGTTGGCAAGAGAGGTGGGGTAAAGTTTCTCAAAAAGTTGTTCCAGCCTCTACACCTCATTAAAAGACCGTTTACACATAACTTTGGCGTTGCGTTAGCGTTGCCGTTGTTGTTGTTGTAGCGGCTACAACAACCCCGCCCAGATCGGTTGGTATCTCAGTCGTTGTCGTCAAGTTCCACTAACGGCAACCCTAGGAAGCGTGCAGCTTCTGTGGGGTTTGTCCACAGGGACAAGGCCGTTAGGGTTGTCGGGTTTTCCGGGCATGCGAAGAGATGTTTCGAGTCATGTGGGGTCTCTCCGCATGCCGGACACTCATTCGGCACATCCTCATTCAACCTACTCAAGTAGGAGTTCAACCTGCTGCAGTAGCCGGAGCGAAGTTGTGCGAGTGTTGTGCGTGTCTCCCGAGGCAGATGAAGCTCCGTCTCGTCTATGTCCGGGGGTGGTATGCCTAGAACGGCATTCACAGGTCTAGAGTCTACATAACTCGAGACTGAGTCCCTGTGAATGCCGTTCAGGGCCTGTCTGTAAGCTGTCGGGTCCAGAGGTTGCTAAATGAACCTCTGGACTTCGTCCGTCAGTTCATATAGATGCCTCCTGACGTGCCTAGGCGAGGGCTCCTCTGCAAGCAGCTGTCTGCTTGGGTGGCCACTTCTGTGGCTCCCGATCAGGAACTGCTTGCAGAGCATTATATTATGCTCCTTTACAGGGAGCATTTGCGCCTCGTCGTGCAGGTGGTGTTCAAGCGACATCAAGAGGCATCCCGTCGCTGTCCTGAGTGCGGTGTTCTGTACAGTCTGTAGCTTCGTCCACTGCGTCCTACTAGTCCCTGGCGACCACACTGGCGCTGCGTAGTTCAAAACCGGCCGGCCTATTGCCTTGTATGTTGCCAGCAACGTTTCTTTGTCTTTGCCCCAAGTACTGCCGGCTAGCGACTTGAGGACCTTGTTGCGGCTCTGTACTTTATTGACAATAGCGGTTGAGTGCGCAGAGAAGGAGAGCAGGCTGTCGAATGTTACTCCGAGTATTTTGGGGTTATTCACCGTCGGAATTGGTGTGTCATCGACGTGAATCCCCAGCGGTAGCCTGACCTCCTTCGTCCAGGTTGTGAACAGGGTCGCGGAGGATTTCGTAGGGGAGAGGGCTAGACACTTTGCAGTGAAGAAGCGAGAAAGTTCGGAGAGATAGCCGTTTACTTTCGAACACAGGTCATCAATTCCATTCCCAGTCGCCATGATCGAGCAATCGTCGGCATAAGAGACAATCGAGACTCCCTCTGGTGGTTGAGGGAGCTTTGAAATGTAAAAGTTAAACAGTAGCGGGGAAAGGACACCACCCTGAGGAACCCCCTGTTTTATTTTTCGCTGCTTACTCGTTTTGTCTCTAAACATTACCGACGAATGTCGACCACTCAGATAATTTGCCGACCACCGTTTGAGCCTCTGTGGGAGAGAGGAGGCCTCTATATCTTCTAGTAGCGTGGAATGGCAGACGGTGTCAAACGCCTTTGACAAGTCCAACGCTACTAGAATCGTTCTCTCACAGGGACGGTTACGGTTAAGGCCACGAGTTATCTGAGTGTTTATGGCTTTAAGTGCTGTTGTTGTACTGTGCACTTTACGGAAACCATGCTGATGCTTCGCTGGGGTCAGGTGGTTTGTGAAGTACGGGAGTAGCAAGGCCTCGAGTGTCTTCGCTACCGGGGAAAGGAGTGTAATCGGACGATACGAATCTCCTTTGTTGGCAGGTTTCCCCGGTTTGAGCAGTGGGACCACTCTCCCCACCTTCCAGATGTCTGGGATGATGAGAGTGGCCATTGACAAATTGAGGACCTCCGTTAGGTACGCTACCCCCGCAGGACCCAAATTTTTCAGCATCAGCATGCATATTCCGTCGGGACCCATGGCTTTGGAGGCTTTCGCCTTCCCGATAGCCACCTGAACTTCACCGCAAGTGAAAGCAAGGGGGGCACAAGTTGTTGGCAGTTTGTGCAGCCTTCTGGTCACTCGACGCTTGGCTTTGTCCGACTCTGTCGTCGTGCTTCGTCGGATTAGACAATGACCTCACGGTTGACCAAAGCTTGCTCACACCAGAGGTGAAATTACAAGTCTTCAGATGCTCCTCCCACTTCTTCCGCTTATGTACGTTTACAAGTTGCCGAATCTCCGCGTTGAGATCCCTGATACGGAGATCTCCGGGATCGGCCTGACGAAGGCTATCACGCTCATCGGCTAGAACAGCCGCTTCGGCAGGGAAGTTTGGACGTGGGTCCGATATACATCCTGCCGGTATGAAGCGAGCTGCAGCAGCAGTGATAGCCCTGCGGAACTTACGTTCACCGAGATGGACGTCGGTTGGTGTGGGGAGCGCTGCGAAGGTGTTTTCGGTAAACTCCGCGTAACCTTTCCAATCAGCTTTAGAAAAGTTGATATAGGTCCGGTGTTTGGCGGAGGCAAAGTCGGTTGGTTTATCTATCGAGATGACTATGGGTAGATGGTCTGATGCTAGAGTCAGCATAGGTCGCCACGTTATGCTGTTTATCAGACCAGCGCTGACTATTGTGATGTCTGGCGAGCTACTGCAGTTACCCATAATCCTGGTGGGTGCGTCGTCGTTCATTGTGCAGAATGTCGAATCGTCTATCTGCTCAGCCAAGTCTGTTCCCCTACGATCGTTTGACAGGCTTGAGTGCCAAAGATCGTGGTGCGCATTAAAGTCACCTACTACCATACGGTTTTCACCTCTGAGGAGCGCACCTATATCAGGGTGATATCCTGCCGGGCAGCAGGTGACAGGGGGTATGTATATGTTGAATATTTCGAGCTCGACATCGCCTGACCGGATAGCGATGCCCTGACATTCTAGGGTGGTATCCCTGCGGTCGATGTCTGCTTCGATAAGACGATACTGCACGGTGTGGTGCGTGATGAACGCTAAGCCACCACCATTATCTCGCTCGCGATCTCGACGGTGCACGTTGTACCCGGCGCAATTCAATAAAGTTGAATTGCTGTACAACTTCGTCTCCTGGACCGCAGCTATCAATATACCATGCCGACACATGAAGACGGTTATCTCCTCAATCTTGCTCTGTAGCCCGTTACAGTTAAATTGAAGGAGCTTCATGTGGTTCGGGAGACGTGTCGTGATGTGGGGTGTGAGTGAAGTGTATGTTCTTGCCGCCATTGGCTGTGTGTGCTGCTGAGGTGATTGCCGCCCTGTGGTGGTGGTGGGGGGCGTCGCAATTGGGAGCTGCGACCGAGCAGCGCAACACGGGCCCTCGAAATTCCCAGTCCAATCTCGCGTGGTACGCAGACCTGAGCATGCCCTAAAGTGGCACCAGCCAAGGCAGGTGTTGCACTTGACTGATGTCACATTAGGGAATATCCTGGTCTGACATACTGTGCAGATTGTAGGGGGAACAAGGAGTTGTTGGCGGCGGCGTGTGGGTGGTGGTGCGGTTGTGTGTGTTATGTGGTCTGTAGTGGCTGTGGTACGGTCTGTGGTGTTACTATGTTGTTGTGTTGTGGTGACTGTGTGTGGCTGCTGTGTGAGTGTGTGGGGCTGCTCGGGCGGACTATGGTTAGCCGTGGAGGCTGCTCTGTTTGAGGAACAGGGGGCCACGTACGACGTGGTCCACTGTCTATGCGTCCGTAGTCCCGAGCAGACTCTGAGGTAACTCCACCCCTCGCAGGCATTACACTTGACTGAGGTGGAGTTGTGGTGTACTCGTCTCCGGCATACACAGCAGGTGTATGTTTCTGGCCTAGGGTTTGACTCGATGCCAGCCCTGAGTAGGAGAATACGTAGTGAATGTAGCCCTATGGACGGACAACTTCTGAGATACTTCGCCGACCTAAACGGGGTTAGATCGCCGAAACAACAGCCCTTGGTCGGGTGAAACCCGAGTCATTCCGGTACGTAGAACCGGCTGTCGTGGGAATGTTAGCGTTGCCGTCGCTTCGACAGCTGACTATGAATGAATACAGGTATTTATACTTGCGATCCCGTACGAGTCCGGACTAGTCAGAAATAGTCAGAATCAGTCAGATTTTACTGGAAATCGATCCCGTACTCGGTTCTTTGACTATTGAGAGCACAAAAAAAAAAAAGAGAGTAAATAAGGTCTTCTCTCCGTCAGAAGTAACCAGTTTTAGTCCAAAGATTTTTTGCTGGCAAGTTCTGCTCAAAGGATCAGCTGCAGTGCGTTTGGCAACCAAATTGTAAACAAAAGTGCACTCTGCTAATACATGTTGAAAAGTATTTAATTACTTGTTTAAGTTGATTCTAATCAACTTGAAAGTATTTTTTTTTATTTATATGTATGAGCTGAGTGTGTTTACGTATAAAATAAGCAAAAATTTACATCCAAAATTTGGAGTAGAGGTGGGTAACTCAACTCAGGGTTGAGTTATTGAGTTGATTCCTATAAGTGAATCGGTAACTCAGACTCCCTGTCCAAAAAAAATGTAACTCAGTTGATGCCGTAGGGCTCACATGAATCAATTGAATCATACCCTGCAAAAATCGCGACTACTCCACGCATGCGTGTAAAGAGTACTGCCTAAGGACCAAGGAGTACTCCAAAATTAACCACAATTTATCTAAACAATATGGTCTAATTAACATAGCGATGTCCTAGGGCAGGACCATATACTCCATCCCTGCATTACATCAGAGTAGCACAAAACTACTCCAACATATTAACAATGGCATTGTTGATATATTTTTTCGTTTGTACACGGTTTTGTTCTTCACTCCTCAAATGCTTTTTCGAAATTAATAAAAACCAAGACAAAAATTAAAAATTACATGTTGCCTCTGACGGCATTCGAACCCGAACATGCTGGGAGCTAAGAACTAACAGCGAGCATCTCTACACGTTCAGCTACAGCCAGACATGCAAATGTGCTTTCAAATGCTCAACTTCAATGACATTTCGTTAAAACACGAGCAGTGATCGGATAACAAACAATAATCTGGCGCAAAGACACGAGTTGGTCCGCTACTGCATGACAGAGGAACACTTTTGTAAGTACTCCAATATACCACAAATAGAATACATGGTCCAACGATTTTTGCAGGGTAGTGGCTCATATTTGTCCATATAACTCTCTCGCTTCGCCACAGTGTTTAGCATGGCAAAGTCTTGCATTTTGTTTTTGCACGAGGCGAATTTATACAAGGTGGTGGCAAGAATACAACAACAACAACCACATGTATTTTGTATTGCGGGTGTTATGTCAAATCTCACAAATTCTTATAATTTCGTTTTTTTTTTAGTTTTTCTCGAAATATGTATGTATGTAAGATATATAAAGATGTGCATATCAAATCAATTGCCTTTCCAACCATATCCACATTTTGAAATTCGGTACAATAGGTTTCGAAATATAAGCTTTTGAAAATATTGAAAATTCCACCTTTACCCTCCCCCTAGCACCGCCCTATTAATTTGCACACAAAAAAAATTACACCTTTCAAATCAGTAGAAAGGAGCTGACCACGCCCACTTTAAAGTTTTGTTTTATCTCAACGGCCGCTATACCGCATCTATGCCTCAAAACGAGTCTACGATAAGAATGAGTGTAACATACAAAGAGTCAAATGAGTTAGTTGAATGAGCTGACTCCTTAAAGTGAGTTGGAGTCATTGAGTCAACACCAATAAATTAGCTGAGTTACCCACCCTTAATTTGGAGGTTATGTTGAAGTTGACAGAAGTTACCATTTTTACTAGAAAGCGATCCCGTACTTTCCAATGTTACTCTCTCGCTCTGGGCGAATTTTTATTTTTTGACAGTTTTACTAGTTTTAGTCCGAGGAATACGGGATCGCACCTTATATGAAAGTCTCCATATAACCAAAGTTGGGCAACGCCCACGCCAGCACAACGCAGAAAGATGGCCGGCTCGCAACTTTTCGCGCGCCTCGTTCCAAATTATTAAAATTATGTGATTTAATTTTCCTTTTTAATCAAATGCGGACAAGAAATATAGTTTTTAATGCAATTATTGATATACAATTTTGATTTATCTGCCGCTAGTATGTTAATTTAGTTACCAAAGTATTCTCTGCTAAGCGTTCATTAAAGCAAGCACGGGCGTTACTCGCACTGCTGTCAAAGCGACGCCAGCGCCAACGCAACGCCAAAGTTTTATGTCATGAACCAAAAATACAAGATCACGTAAGAACGCGACGTTGTATTTGTAACCGGTTTTGAGAAAAAAGGTTGCGAAAGCGGGTTCGTCAGCTGAGCGTTTGTTTACATCACAAGCACCACTATTTTACACTTTTATTAAAGTAAAGAAGAGTTAATTCAACATGACAACACATTTTAAAGCATTTTGTTGCATTATTTTACCTAAATTGAGCGTTTAAAGTGGCTGACAATAATTTTGGCTAATTTTGGTTTTCGTTGTTTTCTTTGCTTTGTTTACTTTTCGCTCGTTTTCCAGTGAAACAAGATGGCGTAGAACCCGCTAAAAAAAATCGACTTTTTTCACTCTCTTGTTCTTGCGTGATCTTGTGTCTTTCGTTCTTGGTTTTATGTAGACGGGCCTTAAAGTAGCAGTTCTGCTGCAGCGCACTAACAGATGCGTAACTACGAAAATGCCGCTACGCAACTTTCAAGCACAAAAAGTTACAAACACACGCAAATGTCCTGTACGTATACGCATTTTGTTCTGCTAGTTTTCATCCAGTGTGAAACCGTGAGAATAATTGTTCTGTCATTCTAGTGTGAAATAGCCCATTCGGATTAAATCCCTGCTGATGGCGTCCACCGGATGATTTATTTGCATTGTTCTCTTATCAGGCAATTTCATTCACATTTGAAGGTCGCAACTGGGATTTTATATTGCTTCCGATATGGGCAGTATGTTGTGGATTTTTTTAACAATTTTGCTTTAACTACTAATTTTTTCAAATGTAAGCAACTTCTATCAACTACTTTACTTTTTAAGACTTAAATAAATAAATTAATAAATTTCTTATGTACTTGTCGGAAGATGTTGATAAACACGCAGTAGGAATGGAAAAGTCGACTCTCAGTTTAGCGTAAATCGACTTTTCGCTGAAAAAACTCGACTTCTGGAATCGACCAGCGTTGCCAGTATTGTTACTTTCGTACTGGCACGATTATCCTTGAAGCCTCGAGGGATTTCCCCAATATCTTCCGGTTCGTATCTCTGGATTGTTAAATAAATGCTAACGATGACCAAATTGTAGTACAATTAACTTTATTGTACAACAAACAATTTACAATATTCGCTAATACAGTAAAAACACTTTACAATACCTTTAAAGCAATAACAACGCTTTACCAAACATGTTAACACAATTAAACTTATAGCTTGCTTATTCGCAACTCACTTCTCTGCTCACTTTACTTGTAGCTTGTTGACTTGCAACTAATACTAGGTTCACATATAAGTAGATTATCCTCATTTTCGAGCTTAACACCCTAATCTATAATTATAATAAGAGATTAGCCATATAAAATTCGTTCCTTGTTAATCTGTAATTATAAAATAATCTCAGGTTAAACCGATAACTTTTCGGTGTCCATCCTAGTTTTATCGATTGTTTTTTCAAAAAAGAAGAGAAATGCCAAATGTAAAAGTAAACCAAAAATGTACGCTAGCAAGGAAAATAGGTTTGTAAAGGTATTTTTAATAAAATGTTTAGTTAAAATATATTTATATTACTTATTATAGCATAAAAACGTGATCACGGTGGCACAGAGAAGAAATATAACTTTTCCTTGAGATGTGAGAATAATAAGCACAACAAATTTGACGGCTAATAATCTGAGTTTTGCCTGTGTAAACGGGGTGATTAAAAAACGAGCTTTGATTGGGATAATATTGATATGTGAACATAGTTTAACTCACTTCGCTGTGGCGGCGCCCTTATATACCTGCGCTCGCACTTATGGCAACTCTAGAACGTTCTGAAGCTTATCGCTCAATCTCTTTCTCT